TGGCGCAACGCCAGCCCGTTTCTTTCTTTTTTCTCTCGACAAGCGATTAGACCACATCACGTTGTTCGTATCAGTCGTTTTCCACACATTATGGTTCAACAACTGGGTAGAACTGGCTGGCGGTTCGCCAAACCCAGCCTCACTGACGCGCCCTATCATCCACAGCAAGGAGACTGTAGCTCAGTAACTCCTAATTATACTGCTTTGACACACTTCGTCGTTCTCACGTTGAGTTCTTCGGGTCCCGGCGCGAACGTAATACAGCTTCAGCCACCTTCAACCGCGACTTGGACGCTCTGATACACCCGTCGAGCAGCTCGGAGAAACCCTATCTTCGAAGCAATTATGGACCCCATGCTCAAAAGCGAGCCCTCGTATTAAGGGGCATAGAACAAACCTGTTATACGTATCTTTGAGGATGTTACTGTAAGACCCCCCACCTTCTAAAAGAGCAACAGACACTGTCACATTATACAATTCGTCCAAGGGTTCGTGCAGGGTTCGTCTAACCATGAGAGCAGCGCCTAAATAGCTTTATAGGGTCTCTCCATTCAGCAACTGGTCAAAGTTACCTCCTCTTTGGATTGTACGTTGTACATCGTGCCCTGTCTCCGGCACACTCGCCACTCATCAGAAAAGCTCCTCTGATACGGCTAGACGGCAGTACTGAGATATCCCCTCTATCTAGTAATGGTCTCGAAATATGGGGATTGGATTCCACACGTGGTGAGTTTGCACAAGCCTCAGAACTGCTGAAAATTCCGGAATTTTTCGTTCGCGCTTTTTCCAAGCCAAAGCTGACTACCCTAAAAAGGCCCTTTCTGTCAGTGAATATTCCCCGAACCGTGTTTCACTCTATTAGGGGCCTCATAGGAGGCATAAAGAAGTACGATGCTCCTAGTTGAGCAATCCTCGCACAGAGTGCCGTGGTCCTTGATCCACTGAGGTGTGGAGGCTGGTGGCGCTGCGATTTCTCAAGTCTCATCCACCCCCGCACAGACGCAGTGGGCAGTTAACGGATTGGAATCAAAAACACGTCAATCAAGATCGCTCCGTGTTGAGTTCGAAACAGTTTTTTCTCCAAACACAAAAGTTTCAGGTTTTTCGTAGCACCATATGGTTCCTATCAGTACTTCCGCTTTCAGAGAATGTCTAGAAAACAGACTAATTGTCCTTCGAGAACAACATTAGACAAAAATTTCGGTCAGTGCTTCAGTGCTTCTAGGATAACCCTGGTAGCGCAATTAGACAAGGTGGGGGCGTTTCACCTGTAAATTCCTGCGAAGCCATGGAAGAGCTGGAGCTTCCGTGGCCCTTGACAGGAGTCTACAGGTCTCGCACAATAGAAACTTGCAAAACAGAGTAGCAAAAGTGCAAAATATGCCCCTCTCGAGGCCAACAGCGCCGCGCAGCTTCGGCTTCATATAACATAATATATAAGCGTCTTGAAACCCAGGGAAACCCAAAGCATCATCACGACTGGTCCAGCTCAATGTTTTTGCTCTACTGGGTCAGCCTGTTACTAAGAACCGTACCTTGCTCATCGTTCCTGTGATCCTTTGAGCTGATAAAGTGGCACGCTACTGTAGGTGCGGATCCTCCCATAGGACGGTACTCGGGAAAGAGTGCACTGTTTGTTTTTCAAAGGACGGTGACCTCCTCTACCGCTCAGTAAAGTGATCGCCCAGTTGGCAGTTGTTAAGCAGAATTCATGGATAATAAGGCTCTCGAGAAGCATCCTAAAAAAGAAGTAACACACACCAGATGCAGTGAGCAGAATAGCTCCGACTTTCCTTGATTTTCGGCGAAGTGTAAATGTTATTTTGATCACTCTCGCTGACATTTCTATCAAACTGACTATTACATAACATTCTGATATTAATACCGGTATTGTTAATAATAAAATATGGCACCAATGGAGGACGCAAGGAGGCGGAGATGGAGTTCTGGCATGCGACACGCTTACCATGCCTGCGTTTCCGGGGTAAAATCCCAAATCAGCTCTATCCTGAGCTGATCAAGGCTTTTCCCCTCCCGGAGGGTAAAGTGGTATATCATGGTGTACATGGTAGTGGTACAGTAGTGGCATCTATCAGGGTAGTCAGTGTTTTCGTCTGGGAGGACAAAAATACTGACTTGTACATCGGCTGGCCCCGCAAGTCATTGTATAGGCCACATCGCATTCAATAAGCCACTACGATTCTGAATGGAAGTAGAATGCGTGCCGCATCCCAAAAGAGGCCCATCAACAGCAAACACTTCATCTTTCATCCTTTAATAATTATATGATTGGATATTCTTGAAGGAAGCTCTGGACAAAAAGGCTTGTTTGGCCTGGCCTGATTTCAAGAGCAGGGCTTGGAGCAATGAGTCAGGCACTGCGTCATTGCACTAGTCCCCACCATTTTACCTTTTTTTTGCTAATGTCCGAGCACTTATCTTTCGGGTGTTCCATCAATTTATCACTATTACAATTTACTTTTTTACTAGAAAATCTATAATAAACAATGGCCTTCACTTCGAAGCTCTCTCTCTCTCGTAACTATTGTGGAGTTCCCCAGTGTAAGCATTTTGATAGCTTCGAAGTGATTCCGTCTTGTTTTTCGAGTCACCCCATCATTTTCCCCCTTCTCTCAATTTCTCATTGTTTTCAGGGTAATTTCTGCCTGCGGGCGGCTGTTGGCAATTGATAAACGCAGTGAATGATGAAAATATTGGGAAACAATTCGGCCTAGCTGACGGCATACGACGCCCTTCACTGTGTGAGTCATAGCTCTCGAAACTTGTGGAGGCGTTGAACGAGTTAGAGAGAGGCACAAGACGGCGCACAACGCAAAGAACCCGCGCTTCATTGCCGGGTTTCCGATAGAGATCAATGCAAACGGATCAGTCAAAGTTCGTGGGGTTGGCGGAGAGTGATGGAGGGATAGCGGGCGCATGTTTGCAATGGATAAGAAGTGGTAGAAGGGGTGGAGATCGAGAGAGAGGTGGAGTATAGGGCGGTGAAAATCGTCGTCGTCGTCTACACTTAACGAAGCTGCTGCTGCTCAGTTCGAATCATGGCTACCACACAGAATGCTGCAGGTCAAGGTGAGTTCCGTGTCATTTTTCATTTGGCTTACTGCCGTTTCGCATTGATTATCTCTACAATCATTAGCTTTACCCATCTAAGGGAATTGCCAAGCCACTCGTAGGCAGGGGTAGGTAATAAGGACATGAGGTAACATAGCTGACGGCTTGCAATGGAAAATCACGTCAATTTGAGCGGTTACCAGGCCCTTCAATCTCATCCCAGCTGGCCTACGGACAACTAAAACTCAATCCCTTTAATGGCGTAATGGCGCCAACTTATCTGTTTTCCTCTGTGCCCTCACATCGTCATTGGCTTCTGATGACCCTCTTAGCTTTCACTCCAACTTTTCACGCACAGTAAGTGGCTGATCTGTCCCGGTGTCTTCTCTTTTTGGAACAGTCATCTCCTGGCTCGCGATATGATTTTAATACCTCTCAATGCCTTGGCGGCCGCAGTTCTTTGTTTCTCTGCGCTATGGCTTTTCGCAGCAGGACCCTCATCAAAAGTTTTAGTTGTCACGTAACCATCCCAGCTGCAACTCTCAGTTGTCTATTCATGTTTTTACGAATTCTTGCGCAGTTCAGCCTGAGGTGGCATTTGGCACTTTCCGCTACTTCCCATCGTTGTACTCATTGTTTACAAAAGTGGACAAGTACTCTCTACAAACTTTGACTCGTAATCCCTTGTGACTTCACCATGACACGAAGATGGGAAGTAACGGAAATTAAGCGTAAGTAGCGGAACCCCTCCCCTAGCCAAACAGCGCCAAAATTTGCATTATCGAGGTTTTTCTTTAGAAGATAGCTGCCGCTCTGTAGACGCCAGAATGGAAAAAAAACCAGGCCTTTCTTTTCGAGGGTCCCAGTTGTCTTTGTGGAACAATACCATGATCGTGTCAGAGAGAAGGAATGAAAGGGAAAAGAATGACATAGCACTCAATAATGAGTGTTCTTCCCTCCCCGGACACGCCAACCACCTCAATTTCTATAGTTCACTTGAGAATTAGAGGGATCCTTGTGCATACACTGAATTGTAGTGTAGTTATAGGCCAATGCAAGGCATAGTCTGTGAATTTTTCGGTACTGCAAACTAGCTGGAACCCTTTGCTCCTTACAGAGTCCTGAGCGGTTCCATAAGCTCTATCATCATTTGTAATGGCAATGCGGCTTGCCCACTTCAGGTAGAAGGTCAGAAGAAGATGACTAGATTACTCTTCCCCTCTTCATTCTCCTTGAGGGATCGACAATTACCACTGCACTCAATTAATTGCTCAGAAGGGACGGTGCTTAGAATTGCGAGTTGACGTGAATCAAGATAATTCGTTCACATGATTATTTCGTTACTAATTTCAGAGGCCGGTCTCAAAATCGCCGCAGTCAACGTCCCTAGCACCGACCAGAATGAAAGACGAACCAGAGATGGTAAGAGCTTGACTTTTGGTCTTTTCATGCTTCACTAAGCGATTCTTGACTTTCATTTTTTGATTCTCGAGGTGAAGAGAAAGCGTTATAAAGCACCTGCTAACATGCCTCATTTTTTGAGGTAGGGGGGGAGAGACTACAAAGCAGACATGACGCTGCGTTGCTAATTTGCCACGTCACGTTTGCTTGTCTGCGCCCTGTCCAGAATAGGAATCTAGCGAATGTTCATTCTAAGGGCATTCAACGGCGTGACCTATCAGGGGGAGGTTCTTAGATGTAGTGCCGGTCGCCTCTCTCCCCCTTTTCCCTCCCGCCGTCTTCTCACCTGATTTACGAATCAGTCAATCAATTAGTATAATCAGTACCTCTCTCAATCTGGGCATCCATGTGCTTTCGTGACGACAGCGTCAATAGTTAGAAAAGAGGCGGGGGGGGGTGGCGATGGAGGAAGACCACTCGTCAGTGCTTATTCCTTTCTCTAATCAAAGTATAGACTCAACAGAGGCTATGTCTTCTCTGCGACACTACCTCTATGGTCCTTTGCGCTCTAAGCGTGAACTTTTTTCGAGGCAAGGAACATCCGGAACGCGATCATTTCCCCCTCACTTCCCCAACTACGCTTGACACGCTTCTCTACTGTATGTGGCAGATGTTCAGCTTCCATTCCCTCTAGTAATTGATGAACGTCACTGAAATGCCCTGAGAAAAATTCTTGCTTGCGCAGCTTTACTATCGAAGTTCAGGAAGATGGACGTTGCGCCAATTGAGACAGACTGATGCCATCGTCCCACTGCAGAGCGGTACCAATCAATTCGATTCGCAGAGGGTGAGTAGATGCCAGATGTTTGTGACATTATAAATTTTCAGCCTAATACTGTAAATTGGGGGCCCAGGTGTAAGAATCCTCCGAATCTGCGGGCACTACTTACTAGTTTTACTGGGCAGAATTTAGCTTCTTAGGATTGACAGTATTGTTCTGATCTGCACGTTCAATCTGGTCCAGAATCGTCAGTTCATATCCGCGAGATGCAATGGGCGTGGCCCGCGTATTATCCCTGAACATGCGTGGGACGAGTTATGCGTAGGATAGTTCATGACAATTCAGGACAAAGGCTGCCTCCACCTTTTGAGTACGCGGCCACGCCCATTGCATCCCACTGATATGGAGTGTAACTGAATGCATCTAATGTGGGTGGTTTCTGAAACTTCTGTACTCTTTTGAGTTCCACCTTTGACTTACTAGAGGGCTGATCAACTTATGAGTTTTCTCCTTTACTGAAAATTCCAGTTTCAACGTGACTCCACTTATCTTCGCTAGCCTCCGCGATCTTAACTGTCACTCGATAAGTGGCATTTTTTTCTCATCACCTTTACATACACTTGATAATGCCGTGTGTAAACAGAGGCGCCGCTGTTGAGAGTTGCGATCGTCGCAGGGGGGGGGGGGGGGATTCTTCTTCTTTACTCTGAAGGTCTCTGTGAAGCTCGCTGAACCTGTCAAACCGAATACTTAGCAAAATAGAGTCACTGGTAGCTGGGCACATTGATGACATCATTGGGTTACACACCTCCTTTCGAGGGATAAAATTAAAACGCGCTTATCAGCAATCAGCAATGCTGTAGATACATATAATCCTTGTCCCTGTTAAGGATTGAGCGTGGCGTCAGTTGAATCGTTGCCAGGACAGCCTTCCCGCTCCTTGTTGCAGATTCAGAATCGGGGCTCAGGAAAAGACCTCCTTGGCAGCTATTGGTCCACCTCTGTCACACGCCGTATCGTTTGTAGAGTTATAGTCAGCGAGGGACGTAAATTATCACATAGTTAGCCTAAAGTGGTCATAATCTGACAGACCGGTGTTTCCCATCCCATGACTGTGCTCTCCAACGGGAGGCCGCGCCAGGCCATAACTGAAGAACTGATTCGGACTCGAAATGGTCTCGAGCGAAACGGGGAAGGATGTAACAGGGATGAGCCACCTCCACTGTTCTGGCCCAAAAAGTAATGCTACTTCAACGCGTTTTTTCACAAAACTTCACCACCCACATCAACCAAGCTCTCTATCCCTCTGGATCGCTGACTAGTACACCTTTTGTTGAGATAGAAGAGGAAAGAGGAAGAAGCCTCCATCCACAAAAGATGGACCTTTTAGTTTTCAGACTGAAGCAACTGCCAGAGCCTCTTTTCAATCAGTTGATGCACACGAGTCGGCACCATTGTCGAAAAATGGTGTGCACGATTCGTAGGTGGACATCACTTGCTGAAGGAGGGCGCAGGCAGCCATCGCCGAAAACAAATGCTATCTGGACACGCTCCAGCTTTCACGCCTCTGGACAACGAAAAAAGATGAGTACGAAAGCTGAACCGGAAATGAGTCGTACTGAATGCTTCTCGCTTCAGGATGATGTGCTTTTCTGCAAAACGCTGGAACGAAATTGCACTCCAGTTGATGATCCTGAAACTTTCCTGACTTTAGGGTGTGGAGTAGTGAAAGTGACAGGATGGGGTCGTATTTGAGAGTTCTCCCTGTTGCGATGATTGTCGTCTCTTTCTGTTACCCTAAGTTATGCGCTGAAATGACTCGATAAGCCTTCGGAGTCTACACTCCATAGTATAACTTCCGTTTATCCTGCTCAGAAATCTTCAGCGGACGGTTCCCGCGCCGCTACTGAATTTCAACCCATCAGTTGTCACCTCTTGGGTTGATGCCACTCAAAGGTACAGTCCGCGATCAGGTATACCAAGTTGAAAATTTAGCCATTAGGAGGGAACCCGATACAATGTGGCCCGCCGCGGACAACCTTGTATCGACTCCAGCGGCAAAAATAGTAAGGGAGAGGCGCTAATAGCTGAATCATAGGTTCGAGTGGCGCCGCCTTCTGCAGTGGATTCCGCCTTCGAACCTCAGCTCTCAAGGCCCCACCCGAGACGCTCAGTGAAGAACACGAAGCGAAGAACGAAATAAGCATTGAATTAGTCCACTTTTCTGGTCGAGTTCTTGTCGGGAATCAGCTGTGAGGATAAGGGCGCAGTGTTGAAGAGGGAGGCAATTGGGCACTTCACAAACTGGGATCAGAATGGGGTTCTATTTAGAGCAGTTGGCTGTTTTTTCTGCTTTTTTTCTTCACTGTCGAGTTACTCAGAACCTTGTCGTCTATATGCGAACTCCTAGTCCACTATCCGTGATGGCGAATGATCGCGGGCTTTGCCTTTAATTAACAGCGATGGGTCGGAGGCTCTGAAAGACAGGGAAAGCTACGATATTACAGAAGTTGGAGAAATGCCATACAATACCACTACATACTGCGCTTCCCTCGCCAAGTCAAAAAGGATAGACAGAAGCTTCGTAGGAGGTAAATGAATGAGTCCTGTCGAGATCCACAAGGTACAGCATGCAAAACCTAGGTATTTCCCTAGAAATCAGGGTTCAGCATGTCTTTTTGAGTTTTCAAGAGCTTTTTTTTGTTTATGTTGTCCGTGTTAACTGTTGTGTTGTCTCTCTAAAATTTAGTATTCTATGTAGGGTAAAACTGGCTTCGGAATGCCACGGAACACCCAGACGGCCGTCGAATTCGCTGATAACGGGAAGCGCTGGGCAATCGAACAGCTGCGAGCCAGTGACGCCATCGTTCGGCTTCAGTCTGGAACAAATCAATTTGAAAGTCAAAAGGTCAATTACTAACCTTGTCTCGTGTTCATGTGTGTGTCGTTCCAAGTAACACGGGGGTGTGTTGTTGTGGTGTCGATGGACGTTCATTTCGAATTTAAAATAACTTGTAGGTAAAACTGGTTTTAACCAGTCCTCTCAGGAATTATTTATACGAGTTCGCTAAAAGAAAGCCTGGGAAAAAAAGAAGTCCCTGTTTGAGATATGGATGAGGCAAAACCTGCTGCATGTGACTTGAGAACCCCAGAATAACGTTCTTGAAAGCGCTTACAGATTGTACCCACAGGGAAGGTTAGCAGCAAGGTCAATCAAGAGATTAAGTGTTTAAGTAAAAGATTGTGCCTGCAATACTGCTGTACCTAAAATGTTGAGCCCATTCTAAAAATCCTTCGAAGCCCACGTGTACCACGTGGGAGGAACGGGTTTACCCAAGAGGCCAAGGGTGGCGGGGTACTACACTTGAGCTTCGAAGGATGTTTTTACAAGGTGCTCTACATGTTAAGAACATTTGAGCGCTTCCTGGAGGAAGAATTACGCATAATACGATCCCGTCGGACATTCCTCCTCTAGTACGATCCTCCTTCCCCATTCCCATACGACTTCCCATATGACCTACCACCTCATTTGAAGTAGTTACACTCCTTATCCCTGAGCCAGAGTAGGCGTGGCATTTGAACATGGCACGGAACTGGTTACTCGTGGAATATTCCAGTCTGGGACAACTGTCATCTTGTTCTGTGATGAAAATATCTCACCAGAAGCATAGACACCTTCAGGTTAAGTCGAAGCATG